GGTGACTTCCGGATTCTGTTCCAACCGGTATGGTTGGAATGGCCCCGGAGTAACCCACATGCACATGCGCAGTGCACGCATGCAGTCTAGCATCAAATGACGCTTCCGCAAGCCTCCGCAATGCTCCAGCTGCTCCACGGAGCATCACACAGGCACCATACGCATGTGCATGTGCGGAAGCGCCCACAGCATAAAGCACCAGTAAGGAGTGCGGGTGGGCCCTCCGGAGCACTGTACCGGAACGGTATCAGGTGTTCCAGGCAGGATCCGGGATGCCCGTACCGGGACGTACTGCTTGCAACCCACCACTGGTTGTGGGGATGGTTAGAAACAAACTAAAGAAATTATGTGGGAGTCATGCCAAGGAAGTTTTTTATTTCTAGATGTTTTCAAACAGTTCTTCACATAAATGGGGCATTTAGCGAAGACGTTTATATTGAGAATTCCATCATAGTAAGATTAAGGTAGGTTGGAGGAGAAAAAGGAGAATTAGAGAAAGAGAACACATTGTTTTCTCAGGAAGGGATGCTATCCTGTTGCATTCTGAACACAGTGAAGACCATACATTTTTGTGGATCTTTCATGTTTGAGTTTTAGTAGCAGCATTCTGACAGTAGGTTGTAGGTTGTGTTGTTAAGCTATTTTATTCAGACTTTATTCAGACTTATAGTAGTAGCAAAGGAAACTTGAAATGGCTTATCATGAAGAGACTGGGAGAGAACTTAAGCTAACGTCTGTAGTCTACTAAATGTGTAAAACAGGAAGATATGGAAGTATTGACTAGAGAGGCCTCTTTAGCTCCTTAAGCTTTCAGTTTAAGAAGTTAATATACTTAAAAAATATGCAATACAGAGCTACCAGAAACTTTATATAAACATACACAGAGAGGGAAAGCCTTGGCTTTTAGCCCACATTCTCCTGAGTAGATTGTTACCTTGGAAAATAATATCTCCTGGAAGAGCAATGTGTCTTTCAGCCAAAATTAAGTTCAGTAGCCATGATATTTGCTGTAAGGAAAGTCCGGAAGAAGTGCATTGAGCAGACAAGTCTCCTTACTCAGTCTTTATTGCTCCAACAAAGGCATTTGACACTTTAAACAGGAAGGCACTCAGGATCATCTGGAGACATTATGGATGTCTGAGGAAATTTATGAAGTTGATTTGGCTGTTCCATGATCAAATGACAGGACAAGTTCTTTACAGAGTGATACGTCTGTTGTATTTGCCATTTTCAGCAGAGTGAAGACGGGTTGTGTTCATTCTGTTATTAACCTGCATGCATACTGACCAAGGTCTGAAGGAAGGTGTGTACATCAGGTACCGATTGGACAGCTCTCTTTGACCTTCACTGTTTGAATGCACAAATGCTTCCACAGTCATGGAACCCAGTCAATAAACTCTTTTTTTTGCTGATGAATATGCATGAATGTGAATGTGTCTTTTGGTGTATAAAGACAGTGAACTAAAGCTGATGTTCAACAAATTCTCAGATGCTGCTATGCTCTTCAGACCATCAGTCTATATAAGTCTGGAGTATTTTTACCAGCCAATGCCAAATATTAACTCTGTAGAATCAAAATCACTGTTGACATCTTTACAAAAGTAAACAGCTTCAAATTCTTGGGAAGCATCATCTCAAATAATGGATCTTTGGACAAAGAAATTGATACCTGGATCAGACAGACCAGCCAGGCTATGTACCAGACTGCTCAATCAAACCAACATTCACATTTCCACAAAGTGGAAAGTCTACAGATCTGTGGTTATCTTTCTTTTTTATACAGATATGATTCCTAGACTCAATTACAGAGCAAACAACTGGAAAAATTTAACATACACATCAGAGCCCAGTTGTGGTAGGTAAGACACTTAATTTGAATGGAGAATAACTGTATGCCTCACCACTTGCTTTATTGTGAATTGGAGATTTTAAAAGACTTCAAGATTATTCATACAAGTTCTACAAAAATGCTGTGACATTACTGTGACATCCAGTCAATGGAACGCCAAGCTGTGGCTTCTGACAGAATCTTTGAAGCCAGAAACTGCCACTAATAATTGATGGAAAATAGTACTGGCATCACATAGCTATTACAATAATGGTGTCCCCAGTGTCCCCATTGTACTAGACTGTGATTCCATACCGGGACCGCAGTATATACAACTCCATGTTCACTGATGAACAGAACTACAGTGAGTCTACTTCAAAATCAAAGGATAATTTATACTTTAAAAATACTCTATAATACTGTGCTACTAGCAACTTTTTATAAAGAGAAAGACAATATATCTGCACTAAACTATATAAGCAGTAAGTATTGAATCCAAACTTATTCTTACTGGAACAATACATTGGTAATGCATTTATAATTCCCCTATATAATTATACCTAATAAACCTATTAATGCACATAATTATGTTCCAGTAGATACTAAGCCTAACTCAAAGCCATAAAATGCTGTATAAATAAAATGGATATGTATTTCCAGCAAAATGAAATAATTCATTTCTGTATTGATAGAGAGGCTTCGAGGGGAGGAGCTGCCGCCGTCGGGAGCTCAATAAAGCTCCTGCCAGGACTCTGGNAGACAGTGTTTCTCACCCTTGGCAACTGGAGGATTTCCGGCCTTCAGCTCCCAGAATCCCCCAGCCAGCGAATGCTGGCTGGGGAATTCTGGGAGTTGAAGTCCGGACATCTTCAAGTTGCCAAGGTTGAGAAACACTGTCTTAATCTAAGTAAATGGGGAACTTAATGTGATTTTTAAATTAAACAGAAATATGCTTTAGACCAGAGCGCTCTACGCAAAGGGTTAGAAAAGAAGCAAAGGGTTGTTTCAGCCCAACTGCCTGAAGGGAAGGAAATTTGTCTCACTTTCAGAAAAAGCACCTGCAGCCACCAGCCCATCGGGTCATTCATTGTAGTGCTATCTGCCAGAGAGGCTGTGACATTGCAGCAATTAAGACAAACTTTTGTCTATCAGTTCACGCCTGCAATCTCTATCCTTCACCTGGAGATTGATGACCCCTTCAAGGAAGCAAGCAGAGCCTTTTCCAGGCTGCCTTCGAAGCAGCAGCGGTTAGGAGTTGCAATTGTTCAGCTGAAGTTGTTTCTCGCTACAAAAGGCCTCCAACCCATTTGGATCCTCTTTAGATCTCAGCGCCTTCTCGGCAAGCAATTCTGCTTGCTATCAAGCACTCAAGACGGTGGGCTTCAAGAATAAATAGCAGAGGGGCTGGAATGCGTTAAAAAGAACAATGGCGCTCCTGTAAAAGACTCCAGAATGTCTTACTGTTTACAGGGAAGGAAGCTGCGTTATCCCTAGTAAGTCTGCACTCTCGATTCCAAAGGCTCTTTTGAAGAAAACAGCATTTTAAAATAAGATTGGAGTTAATTATCGGGATGACAATTTACTGTGAACATGTCCAATTGTGTTTTTTTGTATCTATTTGTATATTTGCATTAGTTTTTTTTAAAAAAAGATATGGTCAAACGACTAAATAAAGTTTCTATTTTATTGTAAAGCAAATGTAAAACAACAATGAAATATTAGTGATTTTTTAAAAAAACCTGAGGGGCACAATGGCTCAGTGGTTAAAAACATTGAGCTTCTCCAATGGACAACTGACAGTCTGGGTTTGAGACGCAGGTGCCGTGCAACGGGCGAGCTCTCGTCCTGGCCTCAGCTCCTACCCACCTACCAGTTCGAAAGCATGCAAATGTGAGTAGATAAATAGGTTCCAGTTCATTGGGAAGGTAACAATGTCCTATGCACCTCAGCCACAGGGCCATGGAAACATCTTTGGATAATGCTGGCTCCCTCTGCGAAGAAATGGAGATGACCACTATGCTGTACAGTCAAAACACAAATAGACAGCGAATCCTTTACCTTTACTAACAAGACCCAGATTCTTAAATTTTCAACCTAGTCCTTGGGGGCAAATGGGGGACAAAAGTTGAATAGGGCAATCCATAAATGCAATAGGTCCATGTTTTAGGGTGCAGAGAAAGCTTGCCTGCTATCGAAGGCTGGACTCCTTTTAGACTACGTCCAGAGGTTGTTGGTTGACAGGACAATTTCTTTCTTCCTGTTTTTGGTCTGTTCTTTTTTGCAGAGCAGCTACTGAAGTTTAGACCATCAGTGGACTGCACAGCCTCCCTTCTTTGAGTTGGTCCCCATTTAACACGTTGACTCCGTTTGGTGAGGTTAATGGATAGGCTTCATCACCTGGATCAGTTACAGTAGATTGGCCTAAAATGCTAAACCCTGAACTAGGTAAGAAGATGCAATCACTATCCCCCATAATGTTATGCACAAATAGATAAATTGCATTATCCATGTACACCACCTAGAGCCTGATACATTGGCAGAATATATATTGGTGTGACAAATAAACAAACAAATAAAAACATTACAGCTTAATAGGATTGCACGGTTCACACAATTTACTAAGCCAGTATGCCACTTTTGACAGTATGGCTTCCCAGACCATCTTCAGTCACCAACTGCCCAGGCACAATTTAGCCTGGTGTTCTAAAAACCTAGTTATTGCAGATTTCACTGGCATTGGTTGTACAAATACAGGGGTTCAATTGAAGAAATGAATGATAGGTCACATCAGCCTGAGGCAACATTTGTGGGGAGAGAGAGAGATCAGTGACTTAAGTATATCTTAGGCTTGCTGAATAGGAACAAAGGAAGCCTCCAATCAAAGGGTTCAACTTTGCTATCAACCATGGGCAGCAGCACCTCTTCCGCAGTCCCGGCAAGAATTCCCCTAAGAATGAACTTTAGACCAACCCCAAGGAATTGTTCTATCGCTCAAGGTAATAACATCATCATCAACAAATGAAAGCCCAACCCAACTTTCCCTCCTGTTTCATCTTCTGCTAGAATCTTCGGATGTCCTTAGTATCCACCTCGTCCTACGTAAGGAGTGAGTATAGGGGATATAGTGCAAACACACCCTTGTCTGTTCCAAAAATAAATCTAGCACACACCCTTTGGCAGAAACTGCTTACACTTTTTATTCTTTCATCTTGATCCATTTTCTTTCACTGGTCCATCATCTAACATTCAGTTTCAAATCCCAATCCAAGGCAGGCGCCTGACTGAGTCCACAGGGCCTCCATTTTCTGTTCCCGTCCTTATGTTTAGCTAGCAAAGACCCCAAAGCGTATAAAATACTTGGAGGCCAACATATATACATTCGGTTTATAAAATATATGTTCCTATTGTCTTAAGGATGCAGGCGGCCGTGAGAGCCGGAGGGGGGCAAAGGACGTCCGCTGAATTTCTTGGAGAAAAAGATGCCGGCTCTGCCTGGCAGGCTCAACTCTGAACTGCCTTGGCCATGAAGCTCTTGGGAGGCTGCTGTCCCGTGGGAGGGAGCGCATCTCTCCTCCTCTCACTGCGATCCCTGTTGCTGCAGACGCCTCTCCTCCAGGGTCCGGCACACCCACATGGAGACCACTTCGGCATTCCCATCATTGTACTGCACAACAAAGAGGTGGCCCTAAAAGAAGAAAAAGGGGGTTCAGTTTAAGAGGGTCAAAGATCTGAGGAGTGAAGGACGTGCAAGATTCTTCTCATCCTACTAAAGACTATTGCAAGAAATCCCAACTGCGTAAACAGTAAACACTAAAAAGAGGGAGGGGTTTTATCACTGAAATATGTAGCTCATGTATAACTACCAATCTCTCTCGGTGTTTTTTAAGTTGAAAAATAAACGGTGTATTTTTCTTTTGAGGGCTCAATTTGAGCAGGCCGCTACACGCTGGGAAGTGAAAAGGGATTTTCAAGCAGCTGAAGAGAAAAGAGTTTTCCCACGTGCTGGAAACATTCTCCTATTTGTGTTAACTCTGATATGTTTCAAAGACCGGACAAAATGTGGGCTCTGCGGTTACACAAAGACAGAAGGTGGGAGCCATGGGGAAGTCGCCTTTTTCTCTCTTGAGTCCAGGATCACCTAAGAAGGCAACAGGAGAGAAGCTGCCAGAACCCCGCAGTCATGCTGGCTGAGGAATTCTAGGAGTTGAATTACACACATTTTCAAGTTGTTCAGGATGAGAAACATTGTTCTGGGAGTGCCTTTAAGATTGTGCGGAAATGTCACCTGTGCTTGCGCTCGTCGGGGCTGTACTCTGGAAAAGCCAAACTTTCAGGTTCTAGCGACTATCAGCTGGCCAGTGCACATGCGCAGGCCAGTTTTTGGCACTGCCGCATGCGCGAAGGACAGCTGATTGTCACATGTGCATGTGGAAGACAAAGGCCGCAGGCGACATGGCTTTGTGTGCCAATTTGGGCACGCTTGCCACAGGTTCGCCATCACAGTTCTAGGATTCTGAACTACCAAGATTGAAAAGCAAAGAAGAGGAAGAGAGATCCGAAAGTCCTTGCAGAGGCTTCTGTGTTTGTGTTGGGCCACGTGAGACTGGCATATAAGGCATGATGCCCTATGCTCAGAAGGCTCTGCCACAGGACTGCTCTGTGAGAGGCCTTTATACTCTTAGATGTGGAGTGAGTGGGAGGACAGAAGGGGAAGCTGTGAAATCATTTTGAAAATGAGCAACTTTCTTTTAGAGATCTGAGTGACTTGTTTCTCTTACCTCCAAAATATGTCACTTCCTTCAAAACTAAGGACTTAATAACATGGCCCCAAAGTCTTGGGGGACCAAAGGTGGCAGTGTGAGGAGCAAAGGACTGGTCGGGCTGAAGGGTGTGGCATGGAAGCAGCAGAGAGGCACAGATGGCGTGGGGACAGGGAGAGAGGAAAATGCTGGTAAGAAGAAGCTTTGAGATGTAATCACATTAGGAAGATGGGGATTTACTTAATCTCCTTTGGACTCCAGGGGAGTAACGTGCCTCCTCCACTAGGGATAGAGAGAGCTTTGGACATGCAAGTGATGCCACAATGGGGGTGTTGCTCTTTAGGCAAGGTAAGGCCTTCTTCCTCTGTCACTTTGCATTTATGAATGCAATGTCTCCAACCCCCTGGATGGTGTAAAGCTTAGAATTTAGAATAAGCTTTCAGATTATTCTAAATTCCCTTCCATTTCTGCCCCAAGGGAAGTGTGTCCTCAGATGCACCCCTGCTTGACTTCAAATCCTTCCTCCTTCTGATGAATAGTGTTGGTTGGGATCTCTTTCCTGTCTTGTCTTTTCCTCTAAATAAATTTTTCCCCCTCAACCTTTAAGATGTGAGGACTTCAAGTCCCAGAGTTCCCCAGAGAGCGTGGCTGGCTAAGGAATTCTGGGAGTTGACATCCACACACCTTAAAAGTTGCCAAGGTTGAGGAACTCGGACCCAAGGTGGTTTTATGCAAAAAGAAACCAAAGAATCCAACAACGATTCTACCTTCAGGAAAAGATAAAATGTTGGCTGGGGAAATTCTGAGAGTTGAACTATACACATCTTAAAGTTGCCAAGGTTGAAAAACTCTGCCCTAGATTCTTACCAAAGAAGGAAATGAAAGAATGTGTCTACTTTTAGTTTTCAGTGTGATTTGATTTAATTGCCTAACGTGGTCTTTGTCAGGACCCAAGCCAGACCCCTGTGCCCTCCCCTCCCCCGGCCACGTCCTTCTGCTCAAATCCCATGCTTAGTTCTCCAGGACCCAGATTCCTTGCAGTAATCACTCTTCAGCAAATGCCACAAGGTTAAATTCGCTTAACTGTTTGTAAAACTCATGGAGATCCCTGGAGGAACAGAAAAGATGCCCTCATTCACAATTAAGGCTGGAATTACCTGTCTTGCCTTTTAAATAAGCCGCTACAAACCCAACAAGAGCCACTGAACAAATCAAGAGGTTGCAGACAAGGGAGCAGGTTCACAGAGCTAGTAAGATCAGCTACTAGGCAGATCCTGCTGGTTTCCAGCATGAATCTCTTTTTTCCCGAGAAAAGTGGGCCAAGTCATTTCTTGCCCGCACCAGCAATCCGGACAGTTCTGCCAAAACTCCAGTCCTCTGAAGACAGTCGAGGGCAAACCTGGAAGTGGCCTTCCTGAGTGTCCAATGGCTGGCAAGAGTATTGGAAAAACATGTTGAAACAAAAATAAGTATTCTCCACTACATAAGACAGAATAATAGGGCTGGAAGGGACCTGTGTCTTCTCCTGCAACCCTCTGCTGAAGGCAGGAGACCACACTTCATTCCGATCAAATGGTTATACAGCCTTTTCTTGAAAACCTCCAACAACAGTGTTACATTTATATTTACTGACAAAGAAATAAAGGGAGACTAGTATAGATCTATTTCAAGCTATTTGGGTCTCATCAGCTAGCCATACCCTCCTGGGATTCAAACTTGGGCTGCTTGCATATTAGGTATATGTATTAACCTCTAAGCCACAGGCTCTCCTCACTTTGTCAGCCATACCAGGGGAGAGATTACTGTATTTTTCGCTCCATAAGACACATTTCTTTTCCTAAAAAGTGGGTGGAAATGTCTGTGCGTCTTACGGAGCAAATATGGGCAACAGGCAGCAGTGGCGGCAGTGATTCCTGGTGCCTGGAACAACTGAGTGGTGGTATTCTGGGTGGCTGATCAGTTGCTTAGTGGCGAAGGCTCCAGTGTTCCCCGGCAGAGGCAGCAGATACGGAGGAGGCAGCTGACCATGCTGTTTGCTGCAAGGATGCTAGCCAGATGAATNACTGTGGAAGAGATGTACCAAAGTCTTTTTCTAACCAACTGATACACTTTCTACAGCATGTAAAGAAGGATTGTGTTTGTTTTAAATTAAAAATAAAAAAAATTAAAAAGAAAGGCCAAGGGGAGATTGGGTCCCCAATCTGGGGAATAGGGAGATCAGGGGACCAACCCTGGATCCCTGGCAAATGCAGGGAAGAACCAGGAGAAGGGCCTTCAGCCAATAATGTAGGAGGAGACCTGCTGGTAACTACAGGTGCCTTGGCCAATGACTTGGTCTTGTCCTTGCACTTAGCGGCCCTATCCGGAGCCGCAGATGAAGAGCGAGCCCTGTGGCTAGCGGCCCTAGTGGTGGCCCTGCCCACTCTAGTGCTGGCCTCGACGGTCTCAGAGTGTAGCGGGGAAGAACTAGAGGCCCCAGCGCTGCCTCTGGAGGTGGGATGATCCGCCATTATAACGAAGAAAGAGAGAGAGAGAGAGAGTTGAAAGGCTCAAGCTCACATCCAAATATCAGAGTGAATACGTTGCTCAGAATAGCAAAGCTGGCTCAGGCTGCTGAGATCGAAAGGACAACCGCGTGTGCTGAAGCGGAATAGCTCAAACACAGAAAAGGGCCGTTGATGCATCACCCCAAATTGCGCACGAGCTGTAAGTCGCGCCTCTTCCAGCTGCTTTTTTGGTGTGAAAGCCAAACAGCTCCCAAAATGGCCGCCGCCAACAAGAATGGCGTGAAATTCAAATTCGGCTCCAAAATGGTCATCGCTCCTCGCCAGAGACCTTCAGCGATCCTTGTTATCGTGGCGGTAACGTAGCACCAATGAGAGCAGCGTGGCAGCGGCAAAGCGACAAAACCACTCTGGGACAGATCATGCTACATTAAGCAGATCGCGTCCACCCCAGCCGATGCAAGAGTGGTGAACCGACTCTTAACTGTGGCCACAAGCGAAACGGAGAGCTGCGGACCTACTCTCATCCACAACATGAACACGAGTCAAACCGCGTGGCTGCGATCCTCTCCAGACGATAGCTCCCCTGGCCGTGAAAGCCTCAAGGGGGCTTGCTGAAAGTTTCCAATGAGGTCGAGGCTAACAGCAAACTGCCGCCCGCCAAAACAGTCAGACAACACGAATTTCCACAAATAATTCAGTCAAACATAGTGAGGAATCCAAAGTTGAAGAAATGAGTTAATGTTGTCTATTATCCTAAAGCAAATTATTTTACGTCTCTTTAGGCTGGACTGAGTTAAAAAACTGAACTATCCCAGTCAGAGGAGGCATGGTCAACAATTACATAACTCAGTCTCTAGCTAATGGACAAATTTAATCCATGCTTGGATTCCCCAAGCAGCGCACAGGAGAATAGAGTAGGAAATGTTTAGTGTTGTATATTGAGCTAGTTGATAACCCAGCGTTGCTCGAGTATTTATTTATAGGGGGGAAATGTCCAGACCAAATATAATTTCTAATGTTGGATTTTCCCCCTTACAAGAGGGAGCCCCCTTGTGGAGTACGTGAAGCCATTACCATGGCAA